ACACACACACACACACACACACACACACACACACACACACACACACACACGCACACGCACGCATATATATATAGGCAGCTGAAGCAGAAGCCTAGTGAATATTACAATTTTCAACATTAACATTTTATTATAACAATATAGTCATTATGGTCTTTAGAATMATTTTTTTTCTGTGGGGGAGGTCACCCATTTAATGTCATTTGGGAAACTTGACCTGCTCACATTTACTCAATACTTTTACGTGTATTATTTATGCATATTTTATGTCAGAAATTTACTTTTGAAACTTAAGCACAAAAAACGTCAAATACTTTAAGACTTTTATTCAAGTAATATTTATAGAGGAGAACTGAACTTTTACCAAAGTAATTTCCTGGTAAAATACTTGTACTTTTACTCAAGCATCACTTTGAGGTACTTTAAACAAGACTGTTTACAACATAGTTATTCCTTTTCTATAACGCAGCGAGGACATTTACAMCTGTTTTTCTTTGTGAACTCAATGCTTTTCGCAAAAAGCTTAACAGTTTATTCAGTATTATAAATTCTGTCTTACACTTGTCCTCCGTTTTCAAGCCCATATGCACAAAATGCTACATGATCAAGTACAAGAACAAAAAATGAGAGAGAAAAAAAATAACAGTCAACGTTTAAATAACTTTGATAAACATTCAGAAAGCCTGGAAAGCTGGGTTTAAAATTTTTTTAACATTAATTTAAAATTTAAATGAATATTTGAAAGAAAAAGTACAATTTTAACACATTCGTGTCAAATAAATTCACACAGAAAAAAGTTTAAAGAGCTATAATGTCAATGAGAGCAACACAATATTTTTAACCGAAATATAAAACTATTACATTTATTTATTAATTTTATTTGTTTGCATAGAATATTTTAAATGACTTCATCTTAAGTTTTAGGAGTCATAATAATATGAGAGTAGAAAGCGTGATGACAGAATGTTAGACCGTTGGGGACCAAAGACATCTTGACATCTATTCTCAGAGACTGTATGATGTGAAATTAAGCTGTAAGCAATAAAACAGTATTTATATTTCTCAGTATGAGGAGCAGTGCTGCCTGCCTTTAGAGGAAAATATATTTGTGGGGTTTTAGCTTCCAATGTCTCCATGGTATACTTATGTCACTGTTGCTCATTAAAAGTACTAAWGCTGTGGTACACTTTGTGTGCTATAGACATACAACTGACACTTATATCCACAATATTGYGTCTCTTGGGGTCTCCTCCTGTCCTGAGCAAGAGAAATGAAAAGTAAATGTTTTATAAGAGAGCAGTACAGTAAAATGAATACTGGTAAATAAATATGCTATAGGTGGTTTGTAGCTGTAATAAGAAAACACTGAATCAACTTAATTTCTTGTAATAACCATTTTGATTTAAAAATGTTTAAAATAAATAAACATTTTGTTTTGTCGATTTGAATTATTACAAATAATCCTAATCTCCAGAGCTCTTTCTCAGACGTTCTCTGCAATAAAAAAATTAAGCAGAGTGAATGTTATGGGAAAAAAAAGAGCCAGATAATGATAGTTTTACTGTCTGCCTCTACAGGTCGTGCCAATCACTGGTCAGCTCTCATTGGATCCTCCCACTCAAAAAAATATGTGCTGTGGGAATATGGAGGCATTTCCAGTGATGGAGTTAAACAAGTAGCTGAGCTGGGCTCCCCGGTTAAGATGGAGGAGGAGATCAGACAGAAGGTAAGATAGTTCAGTTGAAAGAGGGCAATGATTTTTTTACACATGGTGGATTGTTTTAAGGCAGTGGTTCCCAAACATTTTAGCAGTAACAGTGACATGTGCCCCMAACTGTTTTTGGTAGATAAAACAACAGTATCAAGTTGAACAAAGAATCAATATTCATTATGCTACTTTGATCCATTTTAAGTACACAAATTGACTGTGTTGGAACAACTAAGGCAAACAATATTGTTATCATTTTTAAAATGTAATTAACTCAGTGAAACGTATCAGCATAATGTTTCAAGATCCCACAGTGGGTCCCAACCCCAACTTTGGGAACCACTATTGTAAGGACTCTGTTTTGCTACATTTTTTAACAACCACAAAATACTGACAGTTTTCTTTCAGAGAACAGTCTGATGAAATTGTTTAGAGATTAATTGAAGAATGATGTTGAACCTTCAGAAAATATTGCACTATGCAGTGTGAACTTCTTTTGTGCTGTTCAAATTCAAAAAATCTAATATGCAAATACAGGCYCTACCTTGAATAGTACACTTTAAAATTAATTTTTATTTCATAAATCTATTAAATTATAACTTTAGATTAGATTCCTGAATATCAGTTACTTATATTTAGGGGGTCTGAATTAAATGTTAAGTGCCTTAGATATAAATGAGTTAGTTTTTACCCACATTGTCAGTTCAGGTAKAAGTTAATTTCAAAAAGCCTGAATATGTATCCAGCAGTTTTCCCAACTTTTTTATTCTCATTTTATCCAGTTTTTTTTATTGCTTTCACCTTCCTTTTACATATTGTCTTGTACTATAGTTCTAGTCCTCCAGCTATCACATTCTTGGCTTCCCTTTTTTTTTTCCTTTTTTGCCACAAATAGCTTGGCGTATCTTTTCTTCCTTCCTTCGTATTCATGGCTGTCTCTGTCAGTCTTAAAATAACCCATGCTGGCAGAACAGATGGTCCTGCAGAGTTCTTATTGTTTGCTAATACCGAAGACTTAGAGACACAGCAGATAATGAGGCCAGAGTGTGGGGCATGGCTTCTTTGATTCATTCCCAATCATCCCCCTGCTTTCACAGAACACGGCTGTCTTAGCTTTATTCTTACCTATTAGCCTTGAGAAGTGAACTAGCTATCTTTGAGCTGAGAGGGCAGAGGGAAGTTACAGTCGATGCATTTGACGGGTACAGTCAAAGTGCTGAGAAACTCATTGCATAAGATAAATACTGCTGTGTGTGCAGGTTACATTCAAGTAAATATTAATTTATTCTAATACATAATGGTAGTTAGAGAATTATGAATGTAAAGGAAAACTTGAAATTTACTGTTCAAAATGGTTTTGTATCAGTAGAAGTGATTAAACAGGAACAAATAAAAACTTTCATCATTGTCAGCAAGTGTATTTCACAGGAGCTTAATTTGAGATTATCAACAAAAAATGCTCTGTAGTAAATTGGAAATAGATGACACGTGAAAATTAGGTGGTGTAAATGCACTGAGGAAACCTTGGCTTGTCTTACCTCAGCTCGACCCTGTTATAAGGGTGAAACTGTTAAAACTGTTGATGTAAAAAAGGAAAAAAAAGGGCCCTGTTTCAGAATTTGACTGTGCAGGCATTACTTTGGCGAGTTTGCATGTTTTCCTCGTGAGTGTGCATGCATGTTTTCTCTGGATTTTCTCCAGATACTCCAGCTTCCTCCCACAGTCCAAAAGCATGCATAAATATCTGTGATTCTAAATTGCACGTGTTTCTGTGTTGTTTTTATGATGAACTGTGCCGCCTGTCTTGGGTGTACCTTGCTCTTTACTGCTGTGATAGACCCCAGAGCATCAGCTACTCTGAACAGGGCAAAGCAAGTAATTGATTGTTCTAAAACGTCAACAAAAACTGGACTTTTTCAAAATTGAGAAAACATATGACAAATTGTGATTTACAGTATGCATTTTATTTATTCAACCCTTTTTTAATTTTCTGGGCACCCCACCCCTTGCACTGTGACTGCTGGGTATGGGCACCAGTGACCCCCCGTGACCCTGAAAAGAAGAAGCAGTTTAAGATAATGTATGGATGTTTTCTTCTGTGCTTTGAGCTTGAATGGGACTCTGGTCTTTAGTTTTTCTCACAAACTCTGGGTAGGATACTGGTCTAGACTCTGGATAAGGAGCACCAAAATGTCAACATCGATTATGGTTTTAAAAAAAAGGGAAAAAAATCAAGCGGTTTTGATGTATAGGTCACATCTTCTGGAAGGTCAGCTGTAATTTTAGACTCCCCCGCCCCCCGTTCAGTTTATCTTCTTTTTTCTTTTTTTTTTTATAAAGATCACCACTAAACTTGATTAAAGGGGCAATATTATGTGTTTCTCAGGCATATATTTAAATACTATACCATAATAAAGTATCTATGTCACCTTTAGCTGTTATTAAAATGCTGTTTTTATGTTTAAATAGAAAATAAACTTATCTTCTCATCACTTCCTTTTCTAAACACCTTGAAATTGGCCTCTGTTGCTTTAAGAGTCCCCTTCCGCTTCTGTCTCGCCCATTTCAGTATGTGTGTGTGTG